ATGTTGATCTCTATGCATATTCGGCCATAGTCCTGCGAACTGCAAAGGAAAAGAAACATTGTTGATCCAAGCTTTGGAATGACAAACCCAAAAAGCATTCTTACAATAACAGCTTTCCTTACAAATCATAAGTGGGCAATGCTATTGAACCAGGCTTTGTGCACGTGTAGACTACCTTTGTCTGCGTTATTTTGTACTCATCATGTCCCGACGATAGAGATCCAAGCAAAGGTCAATCATCGATCGCTTGATATCAAGTGTATCTGCAACAGCCTGCAAATCATACGCATCTGGTCGTGCCTATGACAAATGGCGCTCCTCATAGTCAATCAATGGCTTCTCTGGCAAGTCCATTTCCATGAAAGCTCTCTCCACTGTGCCTAAAGTCACAAGGCCCCGAACTGACGAACTAGGTATGCGGCATGCAACAAAGTGAACTCAAAACGAACATCTCTTGTGAAAAAGAAACTCTTTTCCGTGGATGTGGCCTAGGCCTAGTCAACAGATGTGGTCGGTCCAATGTCTCTTGTGAACACTTAAAATAGGAAGAAAGCCGCCCACCAAAGCGATCTGCACATGCGTCGAGGAAGCTTGTCCGCGCCTGACAAACAATTCTAGCACGTTGGATCTATCTTGGAACGTCAACTAGGCCTCCAGTATTGACGGTTCCAAGCGCTCGAGCAGAAGAACTTCTTCATCTTCAGCAACCAGTTCCTCACAATGTCAAGGTTGAAACTATCCAGAATTGGCTGAGAAATGCCGCCTTGCCTCCCACAAACCATCCAAATCTCCAGAGAATTTCTGTCGTTTTGCTGCTTCCTGACCGAGGCAAACTGTTGCCATTTTGTGTCGCATGCAAAAATGATCTCCTCAAACACTTCCCACGTGACTTGCTCTTCATCCTTGGCTGCGAGTTTGACACTTGAACTTGGAGCGTCAAAGTCTGGAATGCTCAGATGCTCGCGGGATCTATGGCCGATCTCCACCCAGCAATCACCTCAATCTATGAATCTATGAACCACTTGGACTGGTGATGCAGCGAAATACCATGAAATACCCACCTAGTTCAGACATGTTGGGGAAGGATAGCCAGCAACGCCGCAGTCACACTGCAACAACTCTGGAAATGTGCTTCGGACAGTTGGTGAGTCTGAGGTGATGGAGTCTCTATCTCTCTCTCTATATATATATATATAATATATTATAAGTATCTACATGTACAAAACATATATGAGGTCTCATAACTATGATCTCGTGAACCTCTCCTATTTACTATTCACTTCTGTCTTCTTGACATACATGCCTCCTCCGTTTCGTATCCATAGACAAAAGCATTGTGATGCTCTATAATCTTCAATGTGACTCACCAACAAAGGAGAGAGATGTGCCGGTGGCTGCCAAACACTTGGTTCATGACACTCCCGTAGCGATGTCGCAGAAGAGTTCGAAAATCATCTCAGTCGAGCGCAACATTGACATTGTCTACAAATCCATTCTCAATGTGAGCGCATGTATCCGGAAAAGGCTTGCACCTGCACACAGCCAATGCCTCCTGCTTTTTGAAGTCAAAACATGTTGCTATATGGGCACTAATTTATCCATACCGTTCCATACCGTTCACGAGGAGATCAGTCATGATCAGGCTTTCAGTGACTGACCTGATCCAATGAAGCTAGATCACTGGAAGCGTAGGTGGGGACGCTTAACTCAACCATGTACCTGCTAGTTTCCGCTACAGAGCGATTCTTTCGTCTTGCTCGAAAACTGTGGGCAGAGTTCTCAGCAGACTTTTGGTTCCTTTTTTTCACTACTGCTATTAGAGCATATTAGAGCGATTCTTTCGTCCCGCTCAATAACTGGAGGCCTTCTGCCCCTTGTTGGATTTTGACACTTGGAGATCTTCGGCGGACCTTTGGTCCTTCGGAACTCCCTACTTCGATTAGACCCGTTGCATTGCACCTGCCGATTCAGGTCTTGGCCACCCAGGTTTCTTCGCATTTGGCCTTTGTGCATTTGCCATGTTGTGGACTTCGTGCGTGTCAGGTGGGTTGGGTGAAGTCGTTGAAGGAACTTTCAAGACTTGAACTTTCTTTCACCTTACTCCACCTGGAGTGCGGTCTTACCCTTTCCGAGTTCCAGTTTCGGTGACAACCAGGATTGCACACCAACTGCAATAGAGTTGCAATACACATCATACCTGTACCTGGATTCAACCGGTGTGGCTTTCCTCTTCTGCACGCCATAGGCAGTTGCCCGCGACTAGCTGCAGTTGAATGACGAATTTGCAAGTTGAACCGGTGTGGCCTGAATATATACATCCTGACAAACATATCCTGACCCTCTTTCGTGTCTTTGTCAGCTTCCAGCTAGAACCCTTATATGCAACCTTGTAAATGCTAGCGCGGCGTCCACGAAACCTTTCCTAGATCCCCACAATGACTCCATGTCAATGTGCCCCTGCACCCAAGATGGATAAACCTCTTGTGGATTCAATTCTTGTAGAGATTTGCAAAAAAAAGCTGTTCATGAGGCATTGCCATGCATTGACTGTATGCTGGTAGGCCCGCTGGTTGGTCCGTCTCTCCACCGTCCACCCCTTCAACCGCAAGCATCGACTGACCAAGAGGGACGGGAGCCGTTGCTCACTGATTCACAAAGCACAGCATGGGTTAGGTGAGGGCCACGCGAACCTATTGCTTTGTTTGTTCAGGAAACAGTTTTATTGGAAGATCGCTGGCCTCTTCGCTTTTCCCTTCTTGTCTACCATTACTTTGGTCTGTGTGGTGTTGGTTTTCGCGCTCGCTGAAGACGCGATCATCGTCTCTCGCTAGTTCATACTATTTCGTTGTCGGCTGCCTTTGTTCTGTAAGGGCCTACCGACGACGACGCCCCTTGGATAGCTGTACAGGCCCACACAGGCACCGGCACCTCCTATGGCGATATGAGCATACGAATCGGACACTCAAAAGGACAGGGCAAAGGATATACGCAAAGGTGTTAGAAGAAACCGCCGATACCTTTAAAGCATATCACATCTTTTGAACTCAAAACCCATAATATCGTTTCGACATCAATGAAGGAAAGTATGCAAAGTAAAGAGTACCATTATCTCAAACACTGGCCTGCACGGTGAATTTGAAAGTTTTCTTTCACAAAGAGGCGGCCGGTTGAGCGCCAGCAGGGATGATTTTGACTTACAGTAGCTCTCTACAAAAAGTCAATGTACGTGTGCAATGGATGTGTGCAGAATGCGGACAAAGGGCGGGATACACGAAAGGTAGGACAGCGGGAGGAGAATAAGCACGTAAAATCCGCCCGCACTGAAGGTGCTCAGGGCGTGATCATCCGGAAGGCATAAACAACTGGAAGGTACAATTTTACCGGGGCTTAGAGGAGCGAACGCTTGGACTGTTCGCAAGTGAGTGTGTGTGGGTGAAAACAATTGGTTTTTGCTGAGACGCGTATTTTTTTCCATGTGCCTTGTCGGGAGGCCGGGGGAGCAGATTTTGTGATTTCGGACCTGTTTGGGTGACGGTTTTCGCCGTTTTTGTTGGGCAGAAACATTGGTTTTTGCAGTGTTTTTGTACATTGCCGAAGCTTGAGTTCTTTGCGCGAACATGTTTTTAAAAAAAACCTCGCAAATAGCAGTGTCTTTGGCGACCATGTTGTTGAAAACGTCGCAAATTGCATTTTTTTTTGACAGCAGGTTCAAACACTGTAAATAGCGGTGTTTTGGGCCACGGCAAGCTCAAAAACATCGCTATTTGCAGTGGTTTCTGCCTCACAAAGCACAAAACCACTGTAAAATAAGGTACGTAGTGGCGTTTTGGCAACGTCAACCTCAAAAACCTCGCTATTCGCCGTTTTGGTTGGATGGACAAAAACCCAAGTTACAATATATATTTATATATGTAGTTTTATGATAGTCCTCAACGACAAGAGACACTAAAAACAACATGTCATGTCTCTTCGTGGACTCAAACACTGCCCCACGCTTAGAGTGCTCAACACCAAATAACCATCGATGTGTCGAGGTGATCCACTTCGGGATGAAGCGGTCAGGGGGGAGGGGAGGGCGGGGGTTGTATTGAAAAATCAATTCCAAGGGGGGGGTCTGTATTGAAAAATCAATTCCAAGGGGGGGGGTTGAATTGAACTATCAATTACTGTATTAGATCCGGAGGAGCCCACACATAGCAAAAGACAGGGAGGACAATGGGAACGAGGACACATGGTTGTAGCTTTTGCAAGTTTACTACTTGCTCACCAAGGATCACTCTACTAAACTTTAGGGCTTGTTCACATGAAACACCACAGCGTGGCTGCTCATGTACGGCAATGTATCCGCGGTTTAAGCTTCCATGGGTCCATCTGCCACTAACTACTAACGATCAGTTGTTTGTCAAAAGTCTTGCCAATCCATCTGTCTACCCCCTTCATTCTCCTGCATCTCCGGCCGTTATTTTACAATTATATATTATTAATTGTAGATATAATGTTTCCCTTGCAGCTGCAAGGGTGCGAGGAACATTAATAGTAAGGTGCAGGCCTACAGCTCGCTTCCTCGCCAGTTCTTTGGCCCTTTGCTGCAAAGCCTTACAAAGGTTGTCAGGCAATTGCTCTGCAGCAAAGCCGCCGCTCAAATTCCAAAAGGATTCTAATTGCGTAACTTGCCAGGCAAGCACGGTGCCTTCTACCGGACGCAAGTGTGACAATCAAGTCTGGATTGAGGAGGGGACTTGGCGGGCTAGGGCGCGTTCCTCACGTTCAATCTGTCGAAGAGTCTTCACTTGGGGTTGCAGCATGACTTAAGTCAGTGCATTGCCCCGATGGCGTTGTAGTAGCCATGGCTAGAGCCAAACTTGGAAGCAAGTCACATGTTGTCATTGCCAACCTCGCTCTATCTCTGACTCCATCCAAGCGTTTCTTTGCAAACTTAGAAACGCCAACGCAAATCCTCCGGTTCAGACAATGGCACAAAGGGGAGAAGCTGACCTTTTCAACTGCCTCTTCTTGTCTGTACAAACATCCAGCTTGTTCACTTCGAGCTCTATTGTGGCAGTCGACCAGCTCTGTGCAGAGCCTGCTTGGAGGTAACGTCAAAACAACGTCAAACTCCCTTCACCAATCAACTTGCACAATACATCACAATTTTGAAGTTCACAAAAATCATTGTACTATATTGTACTTGTGTATATCGCCGAATCCCCTACTTGCAATATCTTGCAATATCTTCTGCTTCGACAGAATGGCACAAATCTTTGCCGGTTTTGCCAGTCAGTCTTTTCAGCACCGAGACAAATCAAAGCCTTGACGACTAAAACCCTGACCACGACGACTAGTGCCTGAAGTAATTTGCATAAGTTTGCAAAAGTACCAGTTTACAACTGACTAAGTTTACAGCTGGCCCAGTCCTCACAGTATCATGTGTCACGAGGCAATGGCCCTCACATGGGTGACTTTGGTGGTCAAATAGATTATGTTGACAAACGGACAAGTTAATTCCTGCCAAGAAGTTGTCAGAGCAAACCAAAAAAAGCCATAGAAAACCCTTTGACAAATCTGCCAAGGCCTTCTGATATTCTCTGATAACTGATAGCTAACTACAACCTTTGACAAGACTGCCTGGAGTGCCAAAAAGGAGATGAATTTCGAACAGCACAACGGAACAGCGGAACTGAACTTCTGCCTCAAGCACAGCTGGATGGATCTTTTTCGGCCTTGACACGTGGACTGCGTGGACTGCATAGAACTCTGGTGGTGCAAGCAGCTGGAATGATTTCAGTAATGCCAAGGCAAGTTCAATTGCGCATGCTCCCGGAACTGTGCAAAACATACAGTACTTTCAGCACGTGCAACACATTGCATACGCAATCCCAGACTTGGAAATCATGGATGTGCCATATTGGTTTGTCAGAAAGCATCTTGCTCCTCAGGTATCAACGGATCTTCAGGAAGCTTTGTCTGAAGATGCTGGACCTGAAGCCAAACAAAGAATCCAAATCATAGCCAAGCGCCAGGTCGCTGTCAATAAGTAGCTGTCCAAATCACAAAGGAGGCGCTGGAGAGGTGTTGTGATGCCTTGGTAACATATCCTTGAGCTGTCACATTCTTCGTCTAGTTTCCTGATTCTTTTGAATTCCTTTTTGTTGAAATTAATCAACATCAGCAAAACAGAAATCAATGAACATCGTGTCATGTCATGCGCAGATCCAGAAACATCCAGCTGCTCAGATTGCTGCCCGTCAATGTCCCCAGCTCCCTGTAGAGGTATGCAAAATCCTGAGGCAGTTGAACTTCCCTCAATTTGATGCCCGATTGGGCTGCTATCACCACATATCCCAACAGTAAACTCCACACATGTTTGTTGAGAGTGAAAGAACCATGCCTGAACCTTGAACCACTCTCGGTTTACTTAGCCTATGGCCAACAGCAAACGGTCTCCGAGAGAACGACCCAAACCTCAATTGATCTCAGCTCAAACTTGCACTACTGGCATCTTCAAAACTCAGCGGAACCCTTCCCAAATTGATACGTATGGCAAGTTGTTCGTTCAACTGGCCCTACTGAAGAGGTTGATGAAGCTCAAATGCTACTGCAAATTTCTGCAAGTAGCTCTCAGAATATGGTGGTGAAGGTGCAGGCAGATCTTGCTCAAGCCTTGAAAGCTGCAGTCCACTTTGCAAGTGACGAATAAACTCACAAGCTGCATCATACTCTTTGAAGCCTCCGCCGAAAGGAAGAAGCTATCTCCTCGAAAGCACGTGCGAAGATTTTCCTGCAACGTCAGGTATTGAGACTTCAATGACAGGATCTATGTGTACAAATAAGCGGTATAGTATATAGACAGGGGTAAGGAAAGAGATTAGAGTGAGGCTCCAAAAATACAGATAAAATAATATGTATTACATATAATTAATATACATTCATTTTCAGTGTCCCAACTCTCGACAAACAGCGCACCAAGTTGCTTGCATTTACCCTACTTTGGCCAAGACAAATGCTTTGGTTCAATCCCGTAGTGGTGCAGGTACTTGCGTAGCATTACTAACTTTCGATATTCTTTTGTAGTTTATGCTGCTGTTTGCGCTCCTGCTCTGGCCAACAAACCTCTGCTTATGAAGGAGTTTGGCATGACTCACCTTCTGATTGTGTCACTATGCAAACCTAGCTTGAAGCGCTTGAAGAGAGGAGCAAGTGAAGGTTGATTGCAAAAATCAACCGGTCGCAAACAGAACGCTTCACCTCTCAGAGAGCAGAGTCGTGAGCGAAAGAGAAAAGGGGCAAATACAGGTGGATTACCCAGGCTCCATAGATTTGCATGGTAGTTGGAGCCACCGTACCTTCTCAAATTTGAAGACTTGACCTACCCTTTGATATGCTTTCAGGTTGGAGGAATAAGGAACAGCCAGCAAGAGGCCTTGCCTTACACTATCGTAGTTCAGATTCCGCAACAGCACGCGGTACATCGCAGTGATATCCTGCAAGCTGCATATTGCCAATGAGCTTGACTTGACACCACCAAAACCTGCCTTCATCAGGCCCTCCAACGACTCATGCTCGCCCAATGCTGACCTGTGTGATTCTTTTCATTTCTTTAGACAGTTTTTCTGTCCTTGTTGTTTATGAAGGAGGAAATTCGACATTGTGACATAAGCGTCTTGCAAGATTCTACGGGGAAAGGGTGTTCAATTTGGAACCTTCAAGAAAATTGTTGTCCCAGTGTCAACCATAGTGGTGTATGAAGAGAAAATTGCACTTATAGAGAATTAAAAATAGACTAGGGTGGTAATTGACCGTGCCACACTAGCCACGCGAAATGAACTTCTCAAATCGACCACGGCTGATCCACATAGATGTTATAAGACCAAACAGAAGAAACACACGTTCTTCCTTCTGAAGTAGTACAAAACCATAATATAAATTCATGAGAATGTTTGCTTATGTTTGCTTTGTCTTTGGGGAATCAAAACAGTTGCGCTGGGGCCCACGCTCACTTCGCAGAGTTGCCATCGCATCTCCCTCTCCGAAAAAAATTCGGCGTTTCGGTTGGGGAATGTCGAACCAAATCGAGCCTTCCAAATGTCTGGGCAATCGGAGTGAGGCACCTGCAGCAAAGCCATCCTGCTTTAACAAAATAGCCGCCAGTCTTGTTGGAATTTGTTGGAATAACTGGCTCATCAGGCTGACCACAAAACAGGCCGACATATTGTTGACATGTTCACCGAGTGCTGCGTTGCTTTTAATGGAACAGGTTCATTGTGGCGATACCCTCACCATGCGGCAGACTGCAATCTCCACCGGACAATACATAGCACTAACAAAACAACTGTTCCTGGATTCCAAAGGATGGCCTACAGAGTTGATATGGGAAGGAAAACGCACTTGCTAAACATTCAAGATCCAAAGAGCACCATCAATGTTCTGTGAGTCATTAGCAGCAAAAGGTTCAAAGTACAGCCAAGAGCCAGACTTTCAGCCATCGCTGAGAGTGCTTTTCATAGTGAACTCGTAAAAGGTCCTAAGTTGACTTGCACCAGCGTTTGCGACGCCCTATATATTTCAGAGTGCTTTAATTTGTAGGGAGTGGCGCGCCTTTTGAACACGGCTAAAAAGCGTCCGCAATGCAAGAGGAAAACATGCCCGTCAAGGTCTCAATTGACTCCAAAAACATGAGTGCATTCCACTACAGGCCTTGCCAGTGATGCACTCCTTGCAGCTTTGCTGCAATCAGGCTCAAGATCCTTCATCGGTCGAGCAGCTTGAAGTCGCTATCCGAGCATGAGGCTCGGCGCTCACGAGAGCCAACGCGGATCACCTCATCTTCAGTCTCGCTCGCGCGGGTTCGGCTGGTCAAAGTCGGTGGCGCATCAGACCCACCTGGAAGTCGGAATGTCGGTGTGACGAGCATTGCTTTCTGGCCACACGATGAAGCTCCACCCCGAATATAGCACATAGAGTCCATGGACTGCACACTTACCATCCTGGCTCCTGGTCGACTCAAGGGTGGAGTAGTTGGTCGGAGATGTAGGGCTTGTGGGCGACAAGGTTCCACTTCCGGATGATCCACCACTCGGAGGTGGTGACTGCTCGTGTCCAAGGCGGGGTCAGTGTAGAGACCTTCTCAGGCCTGACCAACAGCATCGCCGCCACCATCACCGCCGCTGCAGCTCCGATGATCTGGCCATCGTCGTCAGAACATCTCAAAGGCTGCGCCGAGGAGAACCTTTGTTGCGCCGTCTGCTGGGAGCTCGGTGCCTAGTATAAAGTTACATTGGTGGCATCTGAGGCTGAATTGATGGCATCTGAAGTTTGAAAGTGGCTAAACTCAACTACCAAGCTCCACTACCATGGACAAAACTGGCAAGCTACATGGCCATTGCAAGCTGCAGTTGTGCATAAAAACATGGCTGGCCATTG